GCAGCTAAGAGGCAAAGAAGAGAGGAAACCCCTGAAGGAGGTCTCCCCGATGTCCTTTTGGGGGGGGACTCTCCCTCCAAATAATAACTGCCTCCCCACCCCATTCTTCCTCTTCATACTGTGCTGTACTGTACTTTTTTTCATGTTTTTGTGGTTTAAAAATAAAATGCATATGTTTCAGAACAGATTAACCATATTTACATTGAACCTTATGGGGAAATTTGCTTCGGGTTGCGACCAAATTCGGAGGGCGGAACGTTACATTGAACCTTATGGGGAAATTTGCTTCGGGTTGCGACCAGAGTCACGGAACGGATTAAGTTCGTAACCCGAGGTACCACTGTAAATATTTCAAACTGGGGAAGCTTCATTAGGTGAAGAGGACATTGAATAAATCAGCCTTTTCAACTCATTTTATTTTGAATCTATCCCATTCTTTAAAGGGCAAACGAATGTGCTTCTTCCTGCCTCTTATTTTAACTTTACAACCTATAAAGTAGGTTGAGTCCAGATAGTTAAAGCTTTGCTGCTTTTTAAGCCCCAAATCCCGGTTTATCAGGTGCCCTTAAGCCAAGAATACTTTGGAAAACCTAGCATATTCCAGGTAAATACCATTAAATAAACCTCTGGATAAGTATTTTCTTCCATGCATAGCGAGGCCGATTTTCATGTAAACATAGTATTTTTATTCATTCATTTGCTTAAATAAACATAGCATTTCCAGTCCATTCTGCTTTTTAAAACTCGTACAAACATGAAAAAGCCTTGCTCTTCAGGTTAGGATGTTAGGGATGTGCACAGGAGCGAAACACAAGCGATCCTTCCATTTTGTAGCATCTTCTAGGACTTGCAAAGCAACTCTAGAGGGTGCAGACGTTTGGAGCGATAACTAATTCGCATTCAAGCAGATCACGTTGCAAGTGTCTGTTGCCGGTAGACACTTTTAGTTCTAAGCTACATAGATAAAACTGTAGTACCATTTTTAAAATATTTAAATATTTGTAAATATTTCCTGAAACAACCAAGTAACATACACTGTTTCAGAGTGTACGCCTTGATTAGTGGGGTACACTCAAACATGCAATAATAATGTGTGTGTTTTTTAATTAAATATGTTCCCTGGAAAAATATTGCACGGAAGGCATCTGAGAATAAGTGCACCCCCCCAAAAAAAAGCCCCTATCCCATAATGCACTTCTCCAGGACACTGCCTAGCTGGCTTGAAGACCACTCTGCGTTCCCGAGAGCCCCCAAGTCTCGCGACATCTGCGCCCTGAAATCTCGCTTCCTGGGCCACTGTCCGCTTCCATCCCCGACCAAAGAGGGAAGGAGCGGGAGGCGGGCATGCGCGCGCACAGCCCCTCGCGCCAGACCAAGCCTCGCGAGAGCCTGCGCCGATTTCCTTTCTTGCGGGCCGCTCAGCTCTCGCGAGAGCTGAGAGAGCCCAATGAGGGAGCGGGGAGGGCCGGGTGGAGGCGCTGAGGGGCCCGCCGGTTGTCTCCCCCTCCCTGTCTCGCTCGCTTTCTCGCGGTGTTTTAGGGGAGGGCTCCGCCCCCCCCCCCCCCCCC